CCCTGCCCTGCCCATCATTGGAACAAGATGAGCTTTAAGGTCCCTTGCCACACAAACCAGTCTGGGGTCATATGATTCCATGCAGTTGGAGCTGGGATGGCTCAAGGTTGATTTTCTCAGCAGATAATCCCTGTGAGATGCATCTCCAAGCAAAACACTGAGCTCTAGGGAGACCTTAGAACCCCTTCCAGTGCCTAAAGGGGCTCCAAGAGAGCTGCAGAGGGACTTGGGACAAGGGCCTGGATGGACTTGACACAGGGAATGGCTTCCCACTGCCAGAGGGCAGGGGGAGATGGGATATTGGGAAGGAATTGTTCCCTGTGAGGGTGATGAGACACTGGCACAGGTTTTCCAGAGAAGCTGTGGCTGTTCCATCCCTGGACGTGTTCCAGGCCAGGTTGGATGTGGCTTGGAGCAACCTGGGCTACTGCAAGGTGTCCCTGCCTGGGGCAGGGGGTTGGATTTCAATGACCTTTAAGGTCCTTCCAACCCAAACCATTCTCTGGAAAAGGAGGGGTTGTGTGGTGATCTCGGAGCACCTGCCAGGATCTGAAGAGGCTCCAGGGAAGCTGCAGAGGGACTCTGTGTTAGGAACTGCAGTGATAGGACAAGGAGGAATAGGGAAGAATTGCAAGAGGGAAATATAGGCTAGATATTAGGAAGAAGATTTTTCCTATTGGAGTGGTGAGACACTGGAGCCAGTTAGGACTATCACAGCCAAAACTTGACTTGTGTTTAGAATCACAGAATCAAGGAATGGTTTGAGTTGGAAGGGACCTTAAAGAAAATCTTGTTCCAGGGAGGCTGTGGCTGCCCCAAGCCTGAGAGTGTTCCAAGCCAAGCTGGCTAAAGCCTTGAGCAACCTGTTCCGGTGGGAGGTGTCCCTGCCCAGGGCAGGGGGTTGGCACTGGATGATCTCTAAGCTCCATCCCAACCCTTTAACAATCTATGAATCTCTAAATGTTGATGTAGGCTGTGCATCTCACAAACCTCTCCAGCTGGTAATTGATCCTGCACTCCATTTATTTTAGTGCCAGAGACCCAGAGCTGGGGGTGGAAAGTCTTTCAGGCTTTAAGAGCTCATTTCCTTCACCAACTCCTACTCAGAGTGAAAATCTCCTTCATTTTCCAGCTCTCTGTGGGTGGATTGTCTGGATTGTATTGGCACTGACTTCAGAGGTGTTTGTTATCCTACCTGCAGTGCCCCTGGAGTAGGAGTTTATGCTTCTGGAAAGAGTTTGCTGCCTTCCTGTGCTGCTGTCTCCAAACTAGCAACCACTGCTGGTTGTTCATGTCCCTGTTCTGCTCTTCTGTGTGTGCCTTAGCACCCAGGCTGGTGGGGAGGGGTGCAGAAAGGTGTTATTTGATGTATGCCCAATAAAAAGAAGGCTAAATGTGTAATAAATCAACTCTGCAGCACTAAGACCACTAGACTAGATGGTATAGGGAAGCTAAACCCTATTGACATATCAGCTATTCTTCCTGTTCTCAAGTCCATCAATTTGCAGCCAATTTCTGCTTGAAATTAAACATTTCTTGGCCTTCTGAAGATCAGTTTTTCCCTCTTTTTTTTCTCTCTCTTTTTACAACAGCCTCTTGAGCTGACAAGAAAACTGCTCCGAGATAAGCAGAACAAGAAGAACTCTGGTCAGCCCATCCCAGTATTCCCAGCCTGGGTGTATGAGCGACCTGCACTGATTGGGGATTTCTTAATTGGCACCAGTTTGAGCACTGACACAACAGTACCAATAGGTATGTGATGCACAGAGGCAATGGCAATAGTTATAGTGCTTTGTGCTCATTCAGAAGTGTTGTTAAGGTGGCATCACACTTGGGATGAAAGCAAACCTGGCTTCTTGCAGTCTGCAGGTGAAGAGCAGGGTTCAACAAACTGATAAAACAACCCATGCTTGCTTTGTTCATAGTGTTTGCCCCGGGCTGACTTCCAGCCTCACTGCTGATCCGTGGGATCTGATCTGCTTTGATTTTCTCTTGTTCTCTCTTGAGTCACAGCCTCCATAAAATCCCACTGGAGGAGTATCACATCTGCATTCTCAGCTGAACAATCTCTAGTTGTGCCTGACAGGGGACTATTCATCAATCCAGCTCAGTATCATACAGTCATAGAGTGTTAAGTGGTTGGAATGGAGTTTAGAGATTATCTAGTCCCAACCCCCTGCTCTGGGCAGGGAGACAGCCCACCAGAACAGGTTGCTCAAGGTTTTATCCAACCTGGCTTTGAACACTGCCGGGGTTGGGGCAGCCACAACCTCCCTGGAACAGCATGATCAGTGTGGAATAGGGTGATAGGAGAGATTTTTAAGGAGGGAAGAACAGGGTGGTATCCCTCACACAAACCCCATGTGTCACTCACACATAGAATCATAGTATGTCAAGGGGTTAGAATGGAGTTTAGAGATTATCTAGTCCCAACCCCCTGCTCTGGGCAGGGAGACAGCCCACCAGAACAGGTTGCTCAAGGTTTGATCCAGCCTGGCTTTGAACACTGCCAGGTTTGGGGCAGCCACAGCCTCCCTGGGCAACCTGTGCCAGTGGCTCACCATCCTCGAATTTCTTCCCAATATTCCATCTAACCCTGCCCTCTGTCAGTGTGAATCCATTCCCCCTTGTCCAGTCACTCTACACCCTTGTCCAAAGTCCCTCTCCATCTATCTTTGTAGCTCCTTCAGGTACTGGAAGGCCACAGTTATAAAGTATTTGAGGCCTTTATGCTCCTTGCTGCTGGTCTGTGGCTGAACACACCAGACAGATACTCCAGTTTGTAGCTCACCTGCAGCTTTTCTTTCTTTGTGCCTATTTGAGCTGTTGCTTGATAGTTGAATATTTCAGTGGTCAGGGATGTTATTGATGAGATTGGAGCTCCTCAGGTCTGGTATAACTGAGCCCTTCTGGGTGGAAGGCTCAGCAGGATGAGCTGTGGGTGATGTTCTCTTGGCCACAGTTTTACAGCCCTGTCTACATTGGGTATAAATGAGCAAAGTATTATGTTTGCTAGGAAAGCCAAGTACATGATTTTGGAGTTAACCTTTTACATCTTGATTTGGATTTGTTTGATATTTCTTTGCTCTCTTTGCCTGGGTCTGTGTCCCTTTCAAGCCTCAGGTACTAGACTGAAGTGAATGGACCATCAGGTACTACTGTGGCACCTTCGGATTGTGTCCTTTTTGTGTCTCCTCTCTGGAAACAGGTAGTTTGCCCTTAGCCTCCCAGGAATCCATGATTGTGGAGGACTTGCTGTATGTGCTGATTGGTGTGGATGGAAGGTACATCACAGCTCAGCCCCTTGTGGGCAGGCAGCACCGAGCATTCACTGTCGATCCCAACTTGGACCTGTCCATCAAAGAGCTGGTGACCAGGATCCTCCCTGTGGCAGCAAGTTACTCTGCTGTCACCAGGTAAGTCACTCTGCTGTCACCAGGTACCAAGCTGGCTTTGTCAGAGGAGGAGGGTCTCTTCTGAGAGCAGAGAAGTTGTCATTGTGCAGATGTTAACTTCATAGAATCATAGTATCATGGTGTGTTAGGGGGCTGGAATGGAGCTAGAGATCACCCAGCCCCAATCCCTTGTCCTGGGCAGGGACACCTCCCACCAGAACAGGTTGCTCAAGACTTTAGCCAACCTGGCTTTGAACACTGCCAGGGTTGGGGCAGCCACAGCCTCCCTGGGCAACCTGTGCCAGTGTTTCACTTCCAAGCTTAATTGACCCTATAGGGATGTAAAATGAGCGAGAAGTTATTTGACTTGGTTTTAGATTTTGCTGGATTGTTCCTCTGTGCTGCAGCTTCCCCTTTTCATTCACCCAGCTTTAGTTTTGGTCCTGGTAAATTCAGGCAAAGTGCAGTTCTCAGTCGGGCACTGGAATATTGCCCAGGGAGGTGGTGGAGTCACCATCCCTGGAGGTGTTTAAGAGGCATCTGGATCTGGTGCTGGACAATATGGTTTAGGGTTTAGGGGTTCCAGCAGTGACAGGTTAATGGTTGGGCTTGATCATCTTAGAGGTCTCCTCCAACCATGATGATTCTGTGATTCTAGGATATGTGCACCTATTCTGGTTTGTCTCATCCCACTCTGCTATGAGTTTCTCCATGTTTTCTGCTTATTGCTCTCCTCTGGGCATCTAGGGCTGAGACAAACTTCATGTGCTTCCAGGCAGGAGAACCTACTGCTGCCTAGTTTCTCATAGCTACATTAAATAGTTGTTAAAAGGTCTTGGCATTAGGTGCACCTCACTACCAGCAGATGTTTGTTATGTAGTTTTCTGCATTTGACAGGCTGAGGAAGTTGGGACTGTTCAGCCTGAAGAAGAGAAGTTTGTATGGAGACCTCAGAGCAACCTGCCAGGATCTGAAGGGGCTCCAGGGAAGCTGCATAGGGACTCTGTGTTAGGAACTGCAGTGGCAGGACAAAGGGGAATGGGGATAAATTCAAAGAGGGAAAGTTAGATTAGATATCAGGAGGAAGTTTTTCCTGTGAGGGTGGTGAGACACTGGCACAGGTTGCCCAGGGAGGCTGTGGCTGCCCCAAACCTGACAGTGTTCAAAGCCAGGCTGGCCACAGCCTTGAGCAACCTGTTCTGGTGGGAGATGTCCCTGCGCAGGGCAAGGGGTTGGCACTGGATGATCTCTGAGGTCCATTCCAACCCCGTAACATACTATGACTCAAAGTCCTTGAAAGAGGAGCAAAGAGAAAGAAGCATCTTTAGGATGTGCTTCATCCAAGCTGTTCTACATGTCTTCCTCCAGATGATATAACTTGTGTGCAGAGGCATCTGTCTCTCTCCATAACGTGTCTGGAGCCATCTAAACGTGGTCAGGTGAATCCCTGCTATGGTGTGTGGTGTCAGAATCCGGCACCAGTGCTTTTCCCACACATCTCTTGCCTCTGGAGATCTTTTTCTGTGCTCTGGTCAGTTGCTTATGCAAAGACAATCACCTGGAAAGTCCTAGCCCTCACTTTCTACATTGTGGTTTTGCAAATGGTTCTAGTTTCCTGCCGTTGGAGAGGAAACATCTGCCCACAGCTTTGCCTGCTAGGAAGTGAGGTGATGGGAAAGAGGGAGAGGGACTCAGACTGACTCAGACTGGAGACTGGTGTGATTTCCAGCCTGTGATGTACTTGTGAGTTTGCACAGTGTCCTGAAGGTAAAAGGTCCTGAACATGATATAAATTGCCTTGCCTGAGGGAGTTTCCATTTTGCTTTTTACAGGTTCATAGAAGAGAAATCTTCCTTTGAGTATGGGCAGGTCAATCATGCTCTGGCTGCTGCTATGAGGACTCTAATCAAGGAGTACATGATACTCATTACCCAGCTGGAACACCTGCAAAGACAGGGCCTTCTCTCGCTGCAAAAACTGTGGTTTTACATCCAGCCCACGATGAGGACCCTGGAGATTTTGGCTTCACTTGGTAAATATCCAAAGTACATTTCATTTTGACAACTTCTGAGAACTGAGGAGCAATTCAGGACATGTCTCATTTTAATGTTCTGTTTTATTGAAGAGAAAAGCCAAGGGGAATTGTGTTTGTCAGGGCACTGCTCTTATTTTGCAGAGTGAGGAGCTCTGGGTTTGAATCTGCTCTTCAGAGCTGTCATAGGATCATAGAATCACCAAGGTTGGAGTACATTTCATTTTGACAACTTCTGAGAACTGAGGAGCAATTCAGGACATGTCTCATTTTAATGTTCTGTTTTATTGAAGAGAAAAGCCAAGGGGAATTGTGTTTGTCAGGGCACTGCTCTTATTTTGCAGAGTGAGGAGCTCTGGGTTTGAATCTGCTCTTCAGAGCTGTCATAGGATCATAGAATCACCAAGGTTGGACGAGACCTCTAAGATAAGATCCTGCAGCCATGGCAGGACAGACCATCCCCCACCTCTCTCCAAGCCCTGTCAGGCAGTTGCAGAGAGCCATGAGGTCACCCCTGAGCCTCTTCTGCAGGCTAACCAAGGCCAACTCCCTCAGCCCTTCCTCATGTGCTCTAGCCCTTTGCTGCCCTCCTTGCCCTTGGCTGGACTTGCTCCAGCGTATGTCAAGGTATCTCCATGCCTTTTCCCTTCACAGCTTTCCCATGAGTTTTATCCACCACTGCCTCTTCTCAGCTTCTCTCCAAATGCCTCCCCAACTGTGTGTGGATGTCTAGCCACACACTGATTCAACCAGATGGAATCTCTGGAAGTTCCTAGCCCAACCCTTTCCTTGCAGCTACTGCTCAGGGCCATATCCAGGTGAGCCTGGAGAATCCCTAGTGATGGAGATCCTCTGCCATTCTGGGCCCTTTCCCATGGCTTCACCACCCTTTCTGTGAGCATTTCTTTCTGTATCTCGAGCTGGAATTACCCTTCTTTGCCTTTGATGTTGGCCAGTCCTGCCCTGTGCTGTTGCATGAGGTTGTTGGTCCCAGATGGAGTTACCTCAATAATTTAGGTCAGACTCTTTGATGTGTGAACACTTGTACATTACTCAGCCCAGAGAACTTACCTGTGTCTAAG